GATGCTCTAATTCTTTTATAGATGCTAATGTATTTAATCTTACTAGTATTATCCCATCACAGATTAGGAAACTGCAGCACAGATAGGTAACTAACCTAAGGAAGAACACACAACTAATATATGATAGATTTGTAAACGACACCAAAGAAGTCAAGGCTCCAGAGTGTAAGTAAATCAGAAAAGGGAAATGTCCTTATTTTAAATTTATGTTTAAAACTTAACAACCAAAGTTTTATAATTATGATGTAAAATATCTTTCAGTTTTACATTTTGCACATCTTTGAAAACTGGAATCCATGGGTTTCTCTCTCTTCCTTAGAAAATTAAGAGAATTAAATAGTGGTTTTCCTTATTTGTTCTAAATATTAATCTCTGCAGAGGATGTGGGATGTACCCATGCTTACAGTATTTAATTCTGCCCCATGAGTACACTGGGCCAAGATATGATTCATGTCCCCAGCCGAACAGATCAGAACAGTGTGCAATTTAAAACCCATGAATTGTTTACATCTGAATTTTCCATTTAATATTTTGGACCACAATTGAACATGGCTAAGTGAAACCAAGGAAAGTGAAACCACAAATAAGGGGGGACTACAGTAGATGAAGGAGGTGAAGTGGAGGGATGAGCCAAGGTTGACTCCCAGGTTACTGGCTTGGAAGCTGGGTAGAAGGAGTTGCCTTTTAGTGAGTTGAGAATACAGAAGGAGCACAGGGACAAGGGGAAAGATCTGAAGCAATGCCACATATATGCCTTGATCCACTGTATACATACAGAGGAGCATGATACGAACTCAAGATAGAGAAGCAGAGAGAAGGGGCTGCATGAAGACACTGCCTCTCTAGGATGCTAGAAAGGGGTTCCCAGGACATTGTTTCTACCTACTTGAAAGATGGAGCCAAGTCTGCTGCAACCTGACTCTGGGCCACACCTGAAAAAAGGAGGATGAGGCTGGACCATACAGGGGCAATGTTAACTGTGAACCATCCATGGAGCCTCTGCTCTTGAAGGGAGAGAGCTGAAATTGACACGTGGGGAAATGAAACTACAGAGCCAGAAACTGAAGTGAAACCAATCCAGCAGGGCCAGGGCTTGAGAAGGAATGAGGAGGGGAGCAGAGCAGGACTAGGCAGTGATGTTACAGAACATGAATTGTTCAGCCGGAATTCCCTGTACTCATGGCTGGAGCACTCTGCTGGACTGACATGGGGCCTCAAAGAGGCTGGAATGAGTCAGAAAGCTATGGCACAAATCAAGCTCCTCCCTGCTGAGGATCCACTGTGGTGACTGCTGGCTACTTTCTGCCCCACTGCCTAAGAGGCCTTGGGTCATCCCCAAACATGAAAACCTTGACTCATGGCCTCCTGATCTTTTCATTCCTGTTAGTATTTCAACTCCATAGTGGGACACATACTGTTAGTCAAATCAGTGATTTATTCATTCATTCACCAAATATTTATTAAGTTCCACTATATATCAGGTGTGGGTACCATTGGAGAAACATTGGTAAATAATTCACACAGTGAAATATCAAAGTGACCAATTCTATCTGCATGATCCTGGGCAATTATTTTACCTGGGAACATCAATTTACCACATATGAAATTTCATCCTGAGAATCCCTCACATTATTTATCCAACATATGCAGTAGCATATATTTTGTATATAAGTATGCTATTTTCCATTTCAAGGAAAAACACATAAGACATAAGGTTATTTCCTAGACTTAGGACTGATATGGAAAAGCTTACATATATAATCACTGAGATAGAATTTTATATTCAATAAATTGCCTTTATTAAAAGAACAAACATATAAGAAATAGAGACTATGGCTGAAAAATCATCATGTTATCATCATCATGTGCCAGGATTTGGTTTAAATCCAGCAACAAGGCATGGTATGAATTTGGCTTAAAGTCCACAGGACATGATCTACATTTTTTCAAGAGAAAATGGTATAAATAACACATATAACTCAATATAGAAAGTGCTGTAATCATGGGGGTAGGTAATAAGGTCCATTATCAGGAAGTGGTTGATTCAGCTGTTCCCATTTTCTTCTCGTCCTGCCCAACTCATAGAAGCCAGCTCTCAGAAATTGCATCATGAGTATGAAGGGAGTTCCCACAAGAAGTGAGGGGATGTAATTCAGGGTGTCAGTTGAAGACTAGGGCAGGAGAGTTGGGGTGCGAAGAAGGCACTGTCTGTGATCTAAAGTTTCCAATGAAACAGGTGCTAGACTACATTTGTGGAATTGACAGTAGCAAGGGAAGACACATGGATGCTAAAGCCTCAGTGAAACTGGCCATTGCCCCTGATCTTTTCTTTGCTTCACTCCCTCAAGACCAGGGTTAGCAATCAGAGATGGGACAGAAACTCAGCCCATGTGTTTTCAGGGAAGTAACTCTACAGACACAGGAAGGACAGAATTCCTAAGGTGTGGTTTCACTTTGCGTATGTCATGTTTCCATTGTTCTAGCCCCTTTTGGGGGAATTCCAAGCCCTTTGATTTAGTCCCAATTTAGCTTCATCATCCTAGCTCAGCATCAACGGCTTACCAAAGTTGTTGCTGGGACTCCAAGCCAATTAGCAAAAACACCTCAGCATCTAGAACAACAGTTGGAGGATGATCGTTTCAATCCCAGTATGTATATCCTTTATCCTGAGGAGAATCTACCTATGGATTTCCTGGGTAAACCTTCTGAGCCCCCTGAGGAGGTTGAAATTTTTCCACCCCAGCGGGAAAAATACAACTTTCATTCCTATTGATTTGTATTTCATTCTTTGGATTTTTCATTTATTGTTTTTTTTTCAAATAAGCAGCACATTCATATGCTTTAAAAAGGTAAAGATACAAGGATCTCGAAGAGATATTGGTATCCCCATATTCATAGCAACATTCTTCACAATAGCAAAAAGGTAGAAGCAAAGGTAACAAGGGAGGACAGAATAAACAAAATGTGGTATATACACTGGAATATTATTCAGTGTCCCCACTTGCTACAATATGAACTTGGAGGACACTATGCCATGTGAAGAAAGTCAAAGACAAAAAGGCAAATATCGTATGATCCCATTTGTATAAGGTGTCAGAGTGGTCAAATTAACAGGACTAGAAAGTAGAGTGGTGGTTGCCAGAGGTTGCAGAGCAGGCATGGGTAGAGTTTCAGTTTTGCGAGATGAAAATGTCCAGGAGATGGATAGTGGTGATCATTGCACAACAGTGTGAATGTACTCAATGTCACAGACGTGTATACTAAAAAATTGTTAAGATGGGCCTCACCGGTGTGGCTCAGTGGTTCAATGTCAATCTATGCATCAGAAGGTTACAATTCAATGCTCAGTCAGGGCACAAGCCTGGGTTGTGGGCTCAATACTCACTAGGGGCGGGTGCAGGAGGCAGTCGATCACTGATTCTCTCTTCATTGATATTTCTATCTCACCCTCTCCATTGCTCTCTGAAATCAATAAAAATATAGTTTTTAAAAGGGTAAAGGTGGTCTATTTTATGGTATGGGCATTTTACCACAATTATTTTAAAAAGGCAGAAAAGTGGAAAAAGTACAGAAGTCACTCTTACACTTTTAACAGCCATCCAATTCCTTCACCCAAAACACCTAACATCACCAGCCTTTGTGTGTCTTTCCAGAATCTATGCCTATACAAGCCAATCCATACTTCCATGTAGACAGGTTCATTTGAGGAGGAACTGAGGTTTAATACACTGTGATACAGGGGTTCAATGAGACAGACTTCAGACCTCCTGAGCTCGTATATTAACGAATGATGCCCTTGTAATGGTTGGGGACTTGAGTCCAGGCTCCAAGTCTTGCTCCGTATAATAATCAGCCACGGTAACAACTTATAGATTTTTGTGGGCACAAAATTCCTTGAACTCAGCATATAAAGAAGACAAATGTGACAATATAGTGTTTGGTTGTTTTGGGGGAAACTTCCAATCAGAATAACAGAGCCCTGTCGAGAGTGGCTCTGTGGCTTGTATGTTCTTCCACACACCCCAAGGCTATCAGTTGGATTCTTGGTCAGGGCACATGCCTGGGCTGCAGGCTCAATCCCTGGCAGTGGGCATGTAATCAATGTTTTGCTCTCATATCGACGTTTCTCTCTCCCTCTTCTTTTTCTTCTCTCTCACATTTAAAAAAAATCTTTAAAAAAATTTTAAAATACAAAACAGAGTTTACTCAATCCCCACGTTTCCATAGAAGGGGATTAGGCCAGACTTAGTTGGACCATGTGTCCCATGCTACAGGTCCTGTGGAGAGGGAGCCTGCATGGAATGCATCACGCTTACAGGGAAGGTGAGGCAGGAACATCTATACCACCACCATGAAAGCTATTGGATCAAAAAAATTATCTCATTGGAAAGGGGGACTATTTTTCCATTACGTGCTGGTACCTGCTGAGCTAGTGATCTGGTGAGCCACTGAAAGGGGACAGGAAATGTGTCTTCAGGACAATCCCATTTGTTTCTCCTCACCTCCTGGATTCCCCACACCTCACTGATCCCCATTCCCAGGCTGTGCCTTAAACACACTATGTATTTGCTGGCTCAGAGGCATCTTCTTATAGAAAATCTCATCCTCATTAGACAACCCTTGTCATGTAGCTTCTGTTCCATGTTTTGCTTGTATGTGGCATTGAGACGTCTAAACGTATCCCTTAGCCAAAGCAGCCACTTTCTCCTGAAAAAGCCCTCCTAAGAAAACAGACAGCTAAATATGAATTCTGCATTTCTCCTGCCACAAAACATGCTGGGCTGTTTCCCAGTCCCACTGCTCCACTGGGTGGCGCTGTGCTATTGTCCTGTGTGTGGTTGGCACCATTCTGCATCTCATATTGCTAAGCCACCAGCATTTATGTCTGGTCATTTAGGTCAATTATTAAATCTTGTTCGCTCAGAATTTCTTTCACTCACTCAGGCATTTAAGTCTCACTGACTTAATGTGATTTAGTTTTGACTCTCCTCTCTTTGCAGGAGTGGAGGAACCAGTACATTCACTTGGAATCACGCGTCGAAGGATCTGTGTTGGACACAGAAGGAAGTAGGTAGGTTTGGTGCTGGGCTGAGCTGGAGGGAGCGGAGGAGCACACACATGACCCGCAGTGGGGTCCACAGAGGCTGAGGCAGGACAAGTGAATGGAGCAGTGGCCCCACCAGTACGTTTCCTGAAATAAAGTCCTGAGGAGGGAAGTCTTGGTCAGTTACTGCTCACACATTCTTCTTTACCCTTTATCTCCAGCAACTCCCTGGTAGCTATCCAATAGTTTAGAGGGGTTTCTGTTGTTGTTGTTTTTCAAAAGGCTTCTGATTCTTTATTCAGAAAGAGGAAGGGCAAGAAAGATGCTCCCCTACTACCTGGACATGTGCCCTGACCAGTAATTCAACCATGGACCTCCTGGTACATGGGACGATGTTCAACCAATTGAGCCCCACTGGCCAGGCTGGGAGGTTTTTTTTTTAATTAAAAAAGAATACCAAAAACCCTGTGAATTTTACACTAGCTTTTAAGGGTGAAGAACCTGCTACACCAGGACAAGGCACACATTTGTGCATGATCTAAAAACTTGGCTGGCGGGGGGGTGAGGGGAACGTGGAGGGGTGGTGGAGTGGAGGGGCAAATAGGCTCAGGGACAAAAATATTCTGACAACTCCAAAGGCCTGTTGAGGGAGGTGAAAGTGAATGATCCTCTATGGTTAGGAGGTCAAATGTATTATAAATAACTGGTGAGCCAGGGGGACAGAGCACCAGAATAGCCTATACCCCTGGGGGAGGAGGTGTCTTCCAGTTCTCAGGGACTGAGTGTATTGGGGAAACAAGGGAGAGAAGACCTCTCCACCTGGTTGGACCACACTGCTGCTTGAGGAAGTATTGGTTTCCCCAGGGATTCCAGCTTCAGCCCTGCTTTTCTTGCCTAAGGCCCTCCTTATTTGTATATAAATACTTGACTATTTACACTTTAATTCCTTACCTCATGGCTAGAGCTGGTTATGAATTGACACATCTACACTAATAAAAGACAAACATGCAAACTGACCGTACCTTTGCTATGCCTTAAGCCATGCCTACCAGCCAATCAGAGCGACTATATGCAAATTAACCCAACCAAGATGGCAACCGGCAGCCATGGAGCTGGAGCGAGCAGGAGGTTTCCTTGCTCCAGTGATGGAGGAAGCCAAACTTCCCAGCTGGATGCTGCCTCCTCTCAAGGCAACAAAGTTTCAATTACAGAAGGTAAATAAACCCCAGATACCTGCTTCCAGTTGCCATGGCCACGGAGCTGGAGCGAATAAAAAAAATAAACAAAAAAAGAAAAGGCTGGGGGCTTCGGTCACCGGGGGCTTGGTCAGTCTGAAAACGGCCCTCAGCCCCTCACCCAGGCTGGCCAGGCACCCCA